TTTAACAGAGCCGTCTAATTGGTTTGTTTCCGCTACATCTGTAAAAAATAAAATAAACAGAATCATTCAGTGGATAAAAAAAATCTACAATTAATAATAAAAATATGAACCATTTCTTATTCTACTAAATTTGCAATGATGCTGCAGAAAAAAGGTTTCAGGAGAAGAAAACGTACAGTTCTCATTCAGGAGCTAAAAATCTGGTGATGAATCAAAACCTAATGACTTCTGTTTGTTACAAACATTTAGTAAAATTCCTGTTTAACGTTAGAAGTTGAAATTCTCTATATTTTATATTGATATAAAAGTGTAAAATAGGTGTTTTACATTGAAACCGTCTTATTTGACCGTTGATGACGTTCGCCGTGCTGCAGTCTCTCCTCTGGTGTTTAGTACTAAACCTGTTATGAGTTAATGAGTTATAATCTCAGCTATAATCGGACAAAGGGACATTTTATTTTTATGAAAATGCTTTTGCATATCAGCCTTGATATATTTGTTCCTTAAAACTGAGAATTTCATTTAGCAGCTCCAGCTGCGAAGCCTTTAGTAATCCTGCACCGACCTGCTGATGTTCCAGGTGAAACGTGAGCGTGTGGCTAATGCTAATGCTAGCGTGTGTCCTCTAGATGAGATGCAATAATGTTTGAAATTGTTTCGCAACCATTTTCAGGCAGGGGCGCCTCCAGAAAATGTTGATGGGGGTGGCCAGATGGGGCCAAATAAATTTTTGGGTCGACACACCAAATTGGTCCTTGTGGTAACTCTGGGAGAGTTTAGCTTGTAGCGATGTGCTGCATTGCTCCTTTATTCGTTTTTATTTTTTAAAAAAACAGTACGTATCCAAAACATTTAACTTAAATTTTACAAACACAAACATTTCAGAAAAATACATTTCAGTTATTTAAAATGTTATTCCAAATTTTATTTAAAATTAAAATTTTAGGTTAATTCACCCGTTGCTGTGTTGACACAAAAAAACTGGAGATAAAAACTTTTTTTTAAATCGTGAGCAGCGGAAACATATGTATTTATTAATATTTTTCAGATTATTTCTTTGCTTATTAATTATTTTTATTTAGTTTTACAATTATTTCTTGAATAAACAAGATCAATATATGGTTTGACTGAACATTAATATGATTTATTAACACTGACTTTTCTAGGGGTGGCCATGGCCACCCCCTGGCCACCCCTTGGGGGCGCCCTTGTTTTCAGTTCCAGTCGGAACCCGTGAAACTTACTAAAAAGCCAGAGACTAGATTTTGACGGGATGTTCTGCTGCTGCAAACGTTGAGCTCAGTGATAATTGTGTTGGTGTTGAAGACGATCTCACGGAGAGACGAGAATCCAAATCCTCCTCCTCCAACATGATCGTTACTCCAAAGTCACACTGGATATCGAGAGGTTTCGCAAATTTCCCGTCTAACCCAGGAAAGTTTGTGAGTGCAACGTTTTTTTTTTAACGCCACCCGCAAGTTCTCACTTCTTTAGAAAATCTTGGGACGCTTTCAAAATCTTCCAGTGTGAACTGGGCCTTACCTTAGCATAGCACGTTCTGCCTTTTGCACCAAAACTCCATTTGTATTGCCCAAGGGTTCGGGTTAGGGTTGGACCCAGGGCAGAACAGGAAGTAGGTTCGGGTTAGGTGTTGTGTCTGTTGTGTTCTATTCACTGAGAGCTCACCTCATCCTCTGCTGGGTGGTAATCTTCACTCCTTTTACGCCCTAAAACAACATTTCACAAGTCGTAGCTCCACCCGTATCGCCAGTGCTGTCCCTGAAGAGCCCCCACGGTGGGTGTGTAACTGCGTCCTGCTGTCGTTAATCCAGCCGAGGCAGTGTGACCACGGAGCGCTGTGCCCGTTCAGCAGAGCGCCCCTGCCGCGATGAACCACAGAACAACCGAGCGCCAACCAAGCATTTCAGCCCCCCGCCAGTCACTGAAGGTCTAGCATGAAGGTGTGTGTTATCTACACACCGTATACATTTCATGTAGTCGCTGGGGATGCATAAAGTGTGTAATCATATATTAGCATCTTTATTGTAGCATGGTATTTTTATCCACTACGCTACGTTTGCTAAGTGTCCCTGTGTATT